TAATAAGCATGCCCTTTACTAATATCTAGTATTAATTAATACCTAGCGCCCTAGCGCTAGTAGGCAATAAGCATAATAGCTATAATATTACCCCTCTTTTAAAAGACTTAATATACTTTTATATCTAATAAAAAGAAAAACAAAATAATAGTAATATATAGTAATAGTATATAGCAAAATAAGCATAATATAATAGTATAATACGCTAGCCTAATATATCCTTCTAATATATAGTTACTAGTATCTAAAGAGAGAGATATAAATAAAAGAAGATTTATAGAATAATAAGGAAATATATAATCAAGTTAATAGTGTTTAAGCTAATAATAAGATTAAGCTAACAGCATTATAATATATGTTGCCTTGTTTTCCTGGTTTCTTAAGTGGCTGCTTTATTATTATCTAGGTGCTCTAAAGGTGACTTATCTTATAAAGCGCTGTTAAGCTAGTGTTAGAATTGCTTAAGTAGATTAACTTCCTATAGATGCGCGTTATAGTAAGCTTATAACGCTAGAGGAGCGTTCCGCAGGTTGCTAATAAGGTACTATATATTATTAGGGTCCTATCCTTATTATTATATCTTGTATTCTAGCTGACCTTTATTAATTCTTGATAACAGAATTCTCTTAACTTCCTACTTAAGATCTCTATTAATTTTAACTATAGAAGGTAAAGTAAGAATCTAGCTAGAGAGAGGATTGTTATCTGCCTTATATAGCCGGTCTATATATAGCATTAATAAGATATAATAAGAGGATAAGAGCTCTAGCTTATAAGAGTGGCTAATTATCTCTAAGATATAAAAGAGGCCTATAACAGAGTAGTCTAGCTTATCTAAGGGCCTATTTATTTTTTATAACTTCTTAATAATAAATATAAGGTCTCTTGATTAGAAATTAAGTAAGCGACGTTTTTTATTAACTTGATAAGTATACTAAGCTTAAGCTAAAATTATATTTATTCTAGTCTAGCTTATTGCCTTATTAATATAATATAGGTGCTCTCTTATTTATTCTTAAGTAGCTTATTCTTATATGTCCTAATATAAGCTATTACTTATTTATATTTAGTTAAAATCTAAGTAAGGTTCTTAGTTATACTTAATTATATAAGGTATAAGTCTTATAGATTTATAGATTAGAGCTAACTTTATAGTATCTAATACTAATAAAAGATATACTTAGTTATCTTAAAAGTAATTTATAAATTAATTAAAGCCTTATATAATATTAAGCTTTATAAAGATTATTATATAAACTAATTATAATAGAGTCTCTAAAATTAAAAGCAAAAAATATTTATCTTTCTTTATAAGTTTATTTAGACTTCTATAATTAATATAGAATCTAAGGTCTTTATTCTTCTTTTTAATAAATAAAATAAGTAATAAGAAAAAGAAAAATAATAAGCAAATAAATTCTTTATATAAGTTCTCTATTAGATATTCTTTTATAGTTATAAGCTCTTAAGTTAACATCTTATATAAATGCGATGCCTTTATCTCTGATTCCTTGTTAAAGTATAGCTTGTAATTAAATAGATGGTACTAAGGCAAAGTGTTTATAGCTACTCTTAAAAAGGCGGCTGCTTAGTTACGAAGATATAGAGAAAGATAGCTGAGAATAAACTCAAGATTATCAGAATAAGGTCTAAGGTTACTAAGAGCATTCTGTTTATTATTATTAGCTATCTGAACTTGACTAACTTAGCATAGGATAAGGCGGCCTTGTTTCTATAGCTTATATTTAATACCATCTAACATAACTGTCCCTAATATTGTATTGTCTTGTTTACTACTAACATAAAAGACTATAATGCTTACAAGATTTACAGAGATCGTTCTGTTATTAGTGTTAGCCTCATCTAGATTAAAGTCAAGACTAAGGCTCTTATTAGCTTTATCAGAGAGAGGTAACTTAAGCTTTGCTTTATAATATTAATAATGCTAATACTATTCTTGCACAGATTTCTAAAACTAAGTCTTAGCCTTACTAGCATTATTAAAACTGACTTTAAGGCTATAACATTAAATATCCTCTTTAAATAGTTTATCTCTATAAGTATTATACTATTTCTTTACTTAGTAGTCCTCTAGCTAGTATATCTTTTTTCTATTATAATTCGGCAGAATATTGTGCTTAGCTAGTTATTTACGACCTAGAATAATATTGTAAGAGCTAAGGTTAATGGTTAAGAGCAGAATATTAGTAAGAGTTTAGCTATAAATCTATGTAATAGCAAGGAGCAGATTATTAATAGGCCTGCTAGGCTAACCGTCGAATCTAACTAGTAGGATAGCCCTCTCTAAAGAAACAAAAGAGATATTAAGCTGCTAAGGGGCGGCCTGAGCAATCCCCTTGTTGATCAGGATGTACGTATTAGCTCTACTATCCACTAGTGTATAAAGATAAAGAACTTGATTATTTACGCCCTTAAGATCGAATGCCACAATAAGAAATAGCCCTCTAATGAGCTGGTCGAGCCTGACAGGTACACTCTTGTGATAGCCTAAAGCTACAATTTCGCCTAAGGCATCTCGTTTTCTGACTCAGCAGGTTTCTCGTCAGGGCCAGAAGACTCATCTCCGAAGTCAGATTCTGCCTCTTCAATCTTATTAACGTGAAGGTCAGGGCAGTCAGGTCTCAAATGGCCAGGCTTGTTGCAGTAGAAGCAGGTTACTGTATCGTCCTTCTTAAAGCTTACGCGCTTCAGTTTCAACCTAGTGGCCTGGCCGGGAGAGGGAGAACGTTGTAGTAGGCCTGCTGTCAGGGCCAAGGGGGACGGATACACTGTCTTATCTGGCGTATTTCTAGCTGGCGCAGGAGGGGCGCCTCTCTCTAGACGTCTGGTGCTGGGTCTTAGACTGCTCAGCTGAATGCGGTTATAAATCTGTTCCTCCTCTCTCTCTTTTCTACGAATTATTATAAGCTAGTTCTTTTGCTTCATAACCTAATAAGCTATAGTACTAGCGTCGTAAAAGGTGTGATCTCCTACTTCGCGAAGGAGTTCGGCGAACATCTTCTCTTGCAGGTTCTTATACTGATCCTGGGTAGACTTACCAATCTGTAACGCCAAACGCGTGAAGTCGGCCCAGAAAGCGTCAAACAGCTGATCACCCTGACGTAGGGCAGCATAGGCCGTCTTGGCACGTTGTCTTTGTAATGCGTTGCTTTCTCTGAAGGCTTGCTCCATAATGGCGAAGACCTCTTCAGGCGTCCGGATAGAGTACGGTGACGTTGGTTTAAGGCGCTCGCGGATGTGGTCTCGGGCAGGGCCCTCTATAAGGCTGGTAACGAATCTTATAACCTGGGGATCATCCTAAGGGAAAGGGCTGATGAGAGAGCAAGTCTCGTAGATCCAGTCCTTGACCAAAATATCCTTAGGGCCGCTCAGGCCACTAAAGGTCTTAGGGGTACCCTTGCGGAGGTCTTTGATAGCAGGTAGCGGAAGGGAAGTCGACCTAGAGGGCTCTACGTCGGCTCTTCTGTTCCCTAGGTTAGAAGATCCGGTCTCTTGAGGACGATAGTCTGGCACTTATAGGGGAATAGGCCTCAGAAAGGGCGATGAGAAGAAGGTCAACAACAGGTTAGAGGTACGCTCCACCTTCGGAAGAGGATCGGTAGGAGTGGCCTTACGTCTCGTGTGCTGGCCACTATCTCTGCGTATGGATTGGAATATACAAAGGACATTAAGGAGGCAGGCGCCTAACGCGCAGACGCCTGATAACGAGTTATCTGCTCTGTTAGGTCAGCAATTTGCTTCTGCAAAGTCATATTTCGTTCTTGCAAGGCCGCGTTCTGTTTCTCTAACTCCTAGCCGACAGCAGCAAGCTGCGTGGCATACTCCGAGATTTGATAGGCTAAGTTAGCGTTGGTATTTGCCGTTTTCACTAGCTCTAAGGCGACCCTCTCGGCCGTCTAGTCAATTAGAGCTTGTTCTTACACTCGCTGCCACAGCTCAGCTAGAATAACGTTGATACCGGATTAAAGATTAGCTAGTAGAATCACTCTTAGCTGAGCTACCCTAGCAAAAGGATCAGAAAGGTCGAAAGGTAGGATGGGATTAAGATAGTTGTTCTCAGCATTAGAGACAGGGTTGTTAATCATGGCCGGAACAGATAAGTCAAAGACAGCTGTGTCGAATACGGTCTGAAGAGCTGCCTCTAGGTTCTGGCGTATTAGTGACCGGTCACTAGTTGTGTGCATATTAATGCGTAGCCCGGCTCTAATAGAGTATTACGTAAGTCAAAAGAGAGACGACAGGACTTAAGAAGGTATCGTGATTGTCAGGATGAGGAAAAGATTAGTAGCCCTTTTAAATAAGGCAGCTATCCGACAGCTCAAGAGATTTGACCCTTCTTTATACTCTGTCTGGTTTACAGAGTCGTTGTAAACGTGTACAGGGCACCCTATTTCTTTTACTCGCTAGGAATGAGGTTTCCGCTTATTTGAATTTGGAGGTCTGAATCTCCTGGTCTTCTTTAACCTTATTAGAGGTGCAGAGGGTATTAAAGAGGCTTCCTTTAAACTCAAGTCTGACCTTAAGTGTTAACACTGACCCAGAATAAGCTGGCGACAGGTCCAGAGATACAGATCTCTTGTAGTTGATAGTTTAACGACTGTTTCCAGTCAAAGGGGAGTCTTAGGATAATGTTATGTGTTACGTTAGAAACAGGTAATAAGTGTGTGAGATCTTCAGCCTATGTTGAGTGCTATCCTAAGACTAGAGAGTTAACAGTGAGGGCCCTAGGGTCACTTCTATAGAATAAGCATGCCCCTTACTAACGTCTAGTACTAATTAATACTCGGCGCCTTAGTGCTAGCAAGCAATAAGTATAGTAGCTGTAACAGTTTAGCATTAAGAAGTACTTGCGTTTAGCAGTAAGGTTATTTCTATAGCCTTAGTATTAGGAACATCAAAATTATAAAAGAGTGCTGTAACCTTAGTGTTAAGAACATCAAAATTCGTTAAGATCTAGCTATAGCCTTAGCGTTAAAAGTATTAAAAGTAAATTATAAGAGTAAGCTTTAATTAACTATATTAGGCTAATTATAAAAGTTATAAATCTATAGATAGTATTATTTAATAGCTCTTAGAATTTGTAATTTAAATATCTTATTTATCTTTTTATAAAATAAATATTTAACTTAGAACAAAAAAAATAGTAAAAAAGTATCAGAATTAGAAAAATAATTATAAGTATAACTATACTATTATTAAAGATAT